GTTGTTACTTCAATGCTAATGTGTGAAATGAATACCAGTTCATGTGACATCTGTACTCGTGTTACATGCATCCTATGAATGGTATCTCGAACTATATTTTCTATGTAACCCACCTATCATCATCTCCTGTCACGAGTTATCTCGTAGGATCTCGCGAGAGGTGTAAAGTGAATCTGCACCCTGAAATTAGAGACCCATTGAGACTTGGCAGGTGGAAAAAACTAAGTTGAAGATTATATATCTGTTTAACTGCCAAGCTGCTGACAGCGTAAAACTAACTTAATCTAATAAGCATAATAATACTAGGGGTTACTCTGATTACATTTCAAGGCAGCATAGTAGAAATACCACACATAATACTTGTGAATAATTTTATTCTTCTCATTCAGTTTCATGAAAAACTATTCTGTTTGACACATTTCAGGCCTGGACCACACATGGTCAATGCACATGTATCTTGCATGTGCTACTGAATATGTACTCTTGTTTCCCTTACAGTTTGTTTATCGCTGGACTTCCGATAGCCCGTTGGATACTTACATATACATGTATACAAGTGGTATATAATTTGTTGTGATGCATCTTTATTTGTTTTAACAAGAACCTGACAAAAGGTTGCCTATTTCCATTTCGGAAACGTCATCTTCAGTAGCTGATGTGAAATGTAGTCTAGAGAAGTAAACTAATATATAATTGACAGAATTTGCATAATATTTGAATTGTAAGCTTCATCCAAGTCTCTCACTTGGGGCGGGGGGTTAGTCTAGTGGTTAAAGCGTTCGCTCGTCACGCCACAAACCCGGGTTCGATTCCCCACATGGGTACAATGTGTGAAGCCCATTTCTGGTGTCCCCCGCCGCGATATTGATGGAATATTGCTAAAAGCGGCGTAAAACTAACCTCACTCACTCACTCTCACAGTCTATAGACACGATCCTTCATTGACCGTCTAGTAAAGTTGGCTTAACTCTTTCCAATACCACATGTTATTCAGATACAAGGACGGGGTGAGTAAGTTTGCCTCGGGTCTTCCCAAGTTTATACATCGTTCGCTGGACATGTTCTAGAAGCTAAAGCATGTGGAGTAAAATTATATTGTTCTAGTTCCTTCTTCCACAGAAAGGTATTAAACAATTACAAAATTAATGTCTAGTCCCTAAATCATTTTGTTTCAAGTATACGATATAGCAGTTTATGATTGTTCTAATTACACGGAAACATTGTCTTACGTGTTTCACAAAACATTAAATGCACCGTCTAGACCAATATTGCCATGGGCAACAGACCGTGGATCATAGTTTCTCTTTGAGTAGTATCACACAACCATACAGCACAAAGGGGGTATAAAAACGAATATACCATACAGTGTTTTAAGTCTTTATGTGCATGTGGAACTTTTATCGCCATGTCCTTATAGCATACGAAAATAACCATGCAACCAATGGCTTGTTCTTCAAGTCTGAACTTCTCGTAATGCTTGCTGATGTTCTTTGCGGGATCATGGTTACCAGATGTCTTTTGTCTTCAAGGAAAAGACACCCGCATTATTATTTGCCAAAATATTTAACAAATCTTCTATGTCGTTAGTTCAGCATAAAACTCCGTTAATACTTCATGATTATGTATTTCTTTCGTTAGAAGACGTGCTCTGGCGAAGAAGCAGAGAGCACGTGTCCACGTCAATGACTCTGCCAGATCTCCCAAGAGTACTGTAACTGTTACATGCTATTACAGCTAACCTATACACGGGTTTGCTGTTTCACTTGGCAAAGAAGTCAATAGAAAAGTGAACTCTCACTGGGGCTGTTAAATTCTGCCTGTGAAAGATTAATGGCGGATGAGAATCTCATAGTCAAAACACGTTGATCCTCGTTCTGTGCTTAGTCTCGCGTGGTCCTTCGAGAGGCGGATGCAAAGATCGAGGTCCTGTTGGAGACCATTTTTATAGGTTTCATGTCTGATTAGAAGATTATGATTAAAAATTCATACCGCTGGTAACATAATGAGTTCGTATGCATTTTTAATGACATTGCATTGAATCGGACCGACAATGTTCCATAAAACTAATTATAACAGACTGAACTAAAACATGTTCTTCGTGTCCGTATTTGCATGTATCACGACGATGCCGTTGTATTACAAGCATCTGGCGTATTTTATAATGAACGGACCTGGATACCTATTACATCTCTCTCTTACCAGATAATTAAACATATTCTCATTTGATGTAATTAGGCATGGTTGGGCCATCGTCTATAACTGATACTGGGTTCAGATCCCAAATATGGTCCCATAATGGTTTGCCAGCAGCATGGTAGCCGTTGCACAAAATAACTTAATGTGGTACAAAACCCCGAAGTTGCGTACGTCTTACACGTGAAACCCACGAGCTCGCTTATGGTGTAGACGAACCTAGATACATAATGGGGGCGATTCGAGTTTCGAACCCACTATCCTTAATTAAGGCAGCATGGTTCTCTGTCTGCTGAGACTAGAGAAAATAATTTTAAAAACTCTACGACCTGACGGACCTTCCACAAAGTGGCCTTAGTTACATAGGAACTACGATCATCCTAGCACTAAGATGGCTTTGTGGTTACTTAAAAAATATACCTTAACATTAATGCCACATTTAAAGTAACGAAGCACACGTATATAAATTAGACAGTTAGGGACCGTTCAGAATTTATGGCTAGGGGTGGGGGAGGGACGGGGGTGATAATTATTTTAAGGTGGGTCACCCATTTTGTTCTGTGAGGTAGGGGATCATCAAGTTTGTACACATGTACTTGGGGGTCATCAATTTTGTACATTATTTTTTTTTTTAATTATGACTAAAAATTATGGGAAGGGTGGGTAGGGGTCATTGATTTTGTACATGACATGCTGGGGGTCACTTACATTGTACATAAATTTTAGGGGGGGGGGGGTCATTCACATTGTACTTAAAATTGATCATTCCTTTCTCCCACCCCAATCCCCACCCCACCCCTAGCCGTAAATAATGAACGGTCCCTTACCTTCTGAGTTACTAATATTGCGGATTTCAAGTTTCCAACAGGGCGAAATTTGCATTAATGTTGGTTGGAATGTGGGGATCAGCCTTTGGAGCCCCGTTCTGTGTTACAAACTGATTCAGTGGAAATAAAAAGGATATCTATGAGGCTAATTTGAGGTATTTTTATACTTTCTTCGCCGAAAATACTTTCTATGATCAAAACAGCTTTTGTGATTCCATAGTCATGCGAAATACAATACTATTTGGGCTGCTAATCAAAAACCTTACGTACGTGAGATGCTACATGATCTTCGTACATCGCCCCGGAGACGTCACCCCTGCCACTTCCGATACAATGCGGAAGTGAGCCTCTCTTTGAAGTCAACGATGTTGTTATGTGTGATATTAACTCATGTTGCTGTGTGCTGGCGTGGCGCAGGTATTAAATCACAAAATACACATACGACTTCAGCGAATAAATAGCAAATACCACAAAATATCATGTTTTGCGTTCCGAACATTGTAGCAATGATCCTACCACAGCTACAACACGTGGTTTGAGACCACGCCCTAATGATGATAAACTCTTGATATCTCAGCATAAAGATATCATCAGATTCATCATTTATTCAACAATTTCAGAGATATGTAGAGTATAAATTTTACTGTGGGCTGAACTTAAGTTAAGAAAGACACACCACTGACGATATAGAGATGTTGAAAATTATGCTCATTATTAAGATCAATTATGACCAAACTGTAAATTTAATGTTAAAAAAAAGTCTAAATATATGATCTTTATTCGATTTGACATTAGCAAGAAAGATTTGTCCAGACAGTTCTTCATTAAAGCAGTGGACCAAAGCACGTCCCTTCTTAATCCATCCGAAAAGTTACTCTATTTCAATATTGCGTTACCACGGAGCGTTAAGAACCTCTTTGCTCCCTGTATTGTCTCCATCCGACTCCCACGGGCGCTATTTCTTTGCCAGGAACTCTAAGGTATTGAGCAATCTCGCAGCAATATACACACTGCTTAATCAACTAGAAGCAGCATTGCGTTGCCTTCTCATTAATTCATAGGGTTCAATGAAACGTAGTTTTAGCAGCGTTTTAAGCTTTGGAGCCGATACTCGTTAGAGTTTATGGACACAATGCATTAGTGGTCAAATTGTAGTTTGGAAATGCCTAATCTAATCACGAAGCACCAATCACGTGATTAGATACTTTTGATTAGATTTCATTTTATAGGAGTCCGGAGTCGTTTTGGTATGATTTGAGAACTGAAAAGAGGATTGTCTAAGCTTTTGGTTCTCGATGATAGTGGTGGCTTCCCAAGATGAAAGTTCATGTTTAGACAGCATCTGGTTAGGAAATCAGGCATAGAATTGTGAAAGTGCATAGGGAACACTACACACTACTGCAGTCAAGAGTCATCAATGCATCATATTAAGCATTGAATGTTCTGTTGTGTGTGCTTTAATAGAATCACTAAGACGGTCATCCTGGATCAATTTAGAATACATGACATTAGTACACTATGACGTATTTGAAATTCATTCATTCCTGTTCGCTCACGCCTCGCAATTTTTAGTTAATAGCTCGTACTGAAGACGCTTACCGAAATGGCTGAATTAATTATTAATTTGTTTACACGATTGCAATGATCAGAGAGAAAAATATTTTATCATTGATTTGTGAGATATAGAAGAATTGGTGTTATCTCTCAAGGTCGTTGGGAAGAATAGTGAAACATGGATGTTCTGAAAACTTGTGAAAAACGATTGTTTAGCTTCTTTAAACTTTAGCTTCATCAAAAGATAAATATGTATTAAGAATTTTGAAATTGAGTATAAAAACAAATCTAAGCCCACACAAATATTGAATTGTGGGTCCCGTCAGCGTAAACGTCTTTAAGGGACAGATAAACCTACATGTTGGCACGTATTAAAACCATGTACGTTTTATTTATTAATGGTGTAATGTGTTCATCTTTTTGCAGGCGGTGGAGACTTTGATGAAACAGAAGTGTCGCTGCCATGGCGTTTCCGGTTCATGCGCAGTGAAAACATGTTGGAGAGGGCTACCAACGTTCAGAGAAGTTGGAAATGTGTTAAAAGTCGGATATGAAAAGTCTGTTCGACTTGCATCAAGGTCCAGGAAAAGGTTACGTCGCCGGGACAAGATCAGGCGCCGAGTGCCTATAACCGCCACAGAACTAGTATATATGCACAAATCGCCCAACTACTGCCGGAAGGACATAAAGCGGGGAATTCTGGGTACCAATAGTCGACTGTGCAATCGAACGTCGACGGGATCTGACAGTTGTGATCTTCTATGCTGTGGGCGTGGTTATAACACCCAGGTCGTCACATATGTAGAACGATGTCATTGTAAGTTCTTCTGGTGTTGCTACGTTGAGTGTAAGACCTGTGAGACGGAAATTGACCTATATACGTGCAAGTGATGCGCTTACTCCCGACATGTGGCTTAATTCAAAACGGGTCCACCATGGTCCAGTATGGAGATGGTAGCTTGGTGTGTTCAAGAACGGATTCAAGTGCAATTACAGGAAGGGAGACGGCAATACATGATATACAGGAAATGACGTTGGATCATGTGACAGGTGGAAGAGAATACCACGTGATATGTGCCGATTCTTGTGATTGCAGAGGAAGATTCTGTTACATATTCGCAAGGAACCCTGGGTAGTTTTGTTAAACGCTATGACTGTGGTTACTGAACTATGATATTAGAAAAAGCAGAAACACGATATTTATGCAAAATATTCTTGTTGCCTCAGGTCGGTGCGAGTGAGACTCACTTTAGCAATACGTTTGTTGTAGGCGCGTAACATCCGAACTCGACGACTACCTGATCGTATAACAATGCATATTTCATACTCGGACAAAAACCATTGACACACAGTGTGTTGTGTCGACATAGTTCACGTCTCTGTTCTGTAGACCCGGATTTGGGACGAAGAGACAATTTGGAGATTATTTGATATTTCCCGTCGTACCTTTCTACCGGATGTTGTGTGTCCGAGTCAGCTGTAATATATTTGTGTGTAGTCCTGTGTTACAATGTTCCCAGCATGCTATTTATTTCACAAGATGTAAACATTCTATTCAATCATTGTTAATATTTCAAGTGTCGTCTGACGCTTGCTGTATGTTTTATGTCACCTTGGCAAATCATATTATATATTGCCTGTAAATAGAGCTCAATATAGAAAAATTAAATGTTCGTTATCGTTTTTGCCCATTACTAGTTTGTATGCGATCCGAAGCTCAGGGATAAAATTTAACAAATTCAGTTGTATATAACGCCGCCTTTTACAGTTTATCGGTATTGAAATCAACGCATACCAAAGGTGAGGCATGCATTCTACTTTGGCAATACCCGTGGCAAGGACTGAAAGACAAAGATTCGTAACGGACAGGTCATTTTATATTTCGGGGGTGCCTACTAGGATATGGAAACAATATCTAATTTCATTTTATTATGTGTTATTTACAGACACGTATTGAGGCTTCTAAACAGAAACACGTCGTGTTTTTCAGCAGTTGTTGAAATAATAATGTCTCCATACAAAATCCCAGGCGCCCCCCAGAATATCAAACGATCTGTCACAAATCGATTCGATTCCGAGATTCGAACCAACATTCAGGGGATCCTTTCAACTTCAGGACCTCTGCCCACTGGGCACCCAGTTTATATGTGAGGCCACAGAGTACAGTGGATAACGTTATCTACGAATCTTTTTAAGTGAGGGTTTCTGTCAGTGAAAAGGTACTTGAATGTTGCAAACGTTATCTCCGAACAGCGTTGAGTTATATCCCTGACGCTTCGCAACTGGCACGCCTACTGGTTTATCTAAAGACAAGTACTTCAATGAGTACGATTGTTTCTATCAAGGCTCTCATTAGAAATCCAACCCAATGAAACCCACAGATGAGGGCGAGTTACAGGTAAAGACACGTGGACGTGTATTATAACTGGGTCTTTCTCTTAAATCAAAATGCTTATTATTGTATCTGTAACTTATCAACTAGACATGGAATCGAAACTGAGAATAAATTCTCATATGTAGTTTTCTGGCAGTTTGTATTTATTTCTTCATATTTGTACAAACTAATTGAAGCTTTATAATTCTATTAACATTTATTTATGAGCAAAATTTGGTGTCCCATATATGGAATCAGCTCGGATACTCTAGTATGTTCACGTGGCCTCAATGCAACGAGGAAATATACATATACTAAACGAAACGGGTTAGGGATCGTGAAAGGTCCGAGAAATAAATCTTGTAGCGAAGACTGAGCACACAATTAAAAAAATAAAAAATAAAATCACGATCATTAAGCTTCATCCTACATTGCACTCTCTACATAAACCTTACAGAGCAACCACGAACATTGGTATGAAATTAAGGTTTTCTCCGAGTCAGCATCAAGTGACTGTATGAGATCAACTTCTTGTCTAAATTCACGATTGACATTAAAATCGGAACTTTCCTTGGCAGAGTTGTAGTTGTGAAATACGAATAGAGAGTGTAGGTGAAGGTCGTGAAATCGTTGATGTTATTGATGCTTTGCTTTTTATCAAACAGAGTTGACGACAAAATGACAGAGAAAACCCATTTCCTTTACCCTTGTGAATAAAAGGAGTGAACGTTATGACTCAAAGAGCGAAAAGAGATCGATCTGATGGAGATTTCCTAGCTCTGCTGGTTTCCACGTATTTCCTCTGTCAATGCTAAGGGTATGGCGGTCCATATTCTGACTGGCGCAATAAGCTAATTTGTTCAAGCTTTTTTCGCCATCTTGCCTACAGGTGGTAAAATACCCCACAAACTTTTACTGCCGCATTCAGCCCAGTGGTGTTCGGAGATTACGCCAGTGAGTTTATTTGAATTCCATTTAATATTCTCTATCAGGTGAATTCCGTTCTGTTTTCCGAGTTGAGATTCCTTAAGCCGCTTCACTTGTCGGCAGGGTTGAGTCAGGTTTACGAGCGCCTCTGCAGTTTGTTGATGGAAATATCTACTCCACGTCTCAAACACGCCTTGATCGGATTGACAGATGGGGGTAAGGAAACTATATCCCTGTTGCTGACGGTATCATACTTCCCCTCCTCGGGCATCGATTCTGATGACATGCACCTCAATAGAGTGACAGTCACTCGATACACGAAAACATGTTGGTCTGGTCCTCTAGGAATCCAGAATTCGGACGAGTAATAGTATACACTTCGTCACTGTATTCGTTAATGATTGCATTGTAAATCGTTTCATACTACAATTGACAGTCTCTTGATACAGGAAAGCCTGTATGTCCGGTCCCTTAGAAATCCAGAAACCTCTGCTTTCGGACAAGTAATCATATAGACTTCGTCAGTGTGTGAAGTAGTATTCGTAAAATATTTTACTGGAATCAGCGTTCCAAATTACAATGGACAGTCTTTTGATACACTGCGAAATACATAAGTCCACATCCCTTTAATCTGGAAACTACTGATTTTGGACGATTAATGGTGTCACTTTTTAATATTAGTTGATTGCTCTGGGAATGGAAAAGACCTGATTAACAGCGTTTCATGTAGACTAACGCTTAGTCTCTGAATATATAAATAATTTTGATAGCAACAAATAAACAAATATATTGAAAAGGAGCCCCAGGGAGACCAGAGATTCAGATCTAGACTTGCTTCATTCAGACGACGGCGTTTCCTGTTATATACATACATGTATAACGAAACGGGGCATGGCAAAGCGTCCCTTACACTGAAAAAAATCCCGCTTCGAATGGCGAGGCCACAGAGCCACCAATACTTGATACAGGAGATGCATGCACACACACGAGTTAGGCGGTTGGCTACGCTGTCACTTGCATCAAATGTGTTAGTTACACGTTCAAAAAGCTTGAAAATTCCTTTAAAACATAACTGAAACTGACAGGAAATTCCTTTTGACAAATTTGGTTTGAAATGATAATCCCAGATTTAGGCTAATGGTTAGTCTGTCATACAGACCCTGAAACAAATATACCCAATACAGCCCATGCAAGTCTAGAATATGTGGCAAGTCTAGGTTACCACAAATGAAGAAAGTCTTTCGGCTCCTTTTTGAAACTGAAACATCTATAACACGTACTAGTCCCTTTATTTCATATCAGTGACACAGTCGATATACACAGGCGTGTGCCGACGATTCTGTCCAACATGTGGACTGTTGTGCTACTCGACATCTGATAATCCGGACGAGTTCACTTAGAGCTGTAACGCTGAATTCTCTGCAGAGCAAGGCGTTTCCAGTGCGACATTTGTCACTAGGAACCACAACAATAACAGTGAGTGAGTGAGTGAGTTTAGTTTTACGCCACTTTTAGGACACCAGAAATGAGTGTCACACATTGTACCCATATGGGGAATCGAACCCGGGCCTTCGGCGTAACGCGCGAACGCTTTAACCACTAGACTATCCCACCGCCCGACAACAATAACAACAACAAAACTAAGAAGAAGAATATGTTTCGCCACAACAAAAAATATGTCGCAGTAACCCAGTTCCAACTAGGCAGCTCATGAGCGATTTATAATATCATTACCCCCTGTCGATGGTTGAGGATGCACTCTACTTTAAGGGGTAGGAACAACAACAAAGCGTTCATGACCTGCCTAGATGCAACTGGGTTATTACGACATCATTCTTATTAAAAAAAAAAAATTCTGCTGTTAATCAATCAATCAAATAGAGATGAGACGTGAATATGTTACTGACAAGTAGATACGGTTATGAATATTGTTTCTTTTTAAAGAAACAACAAATATTGAATCCTAAAATCAAATATAGTTGCAGACAACGATGAGGTCTCTTTGGCTTTAGTTCTATCTTTTTGTATCTGAGGGCTAGAAATCATCGTCCAAAACGGAGCCAGAACACGTTTTTTGACAGGCGAGCGGATCTTCCAATACAGCCGGGGTCGCGGGGGTGATGTACCTTTTAAGAAGTTCCGGAGAAGAAATAGTTCCCTCTTTAAAAGGCTGTATCTCAGTTGTTCTTGGGTCTACGATCAAAACAATTAGTGTTCTGGAATCACCAAGCCTTCATCTACCATACAGGCACTTTATGCAGAATGTGCACATTTTGGGAGCAAACTACTCAGGAAACTGATGAAAACCATGGACAAAAACTGAAGACAAAAATAACTGCCAAACGGTACGTTTTAGCGACTTGACCCGTCCAGGCAAAATTGTTGGGAATTCGATTGTGCATCTGTACAAGAGATTTGGAAGTGTTGGAACAATTAGTTCTTGAGATATTTAATGTCAACTTTAAAATTTGGATTTAATTTTGAATTATCTCCCCTTTGCTATTGGGCCTGGAGCCTAGAGATTTTTAAAGGGAATTTCTACACCTGTGCGCATCTGTGTGATTCGGAGCATTGGTTTAGGAGTTATGTTTGGTACAAAAATCGGCGGAATAATAATAATAGTCTGGTGGTTAAAAGACGCGGGTGTGTCATGTGTGTGTCCCCCGCCGTGATATTGCTGGAATACTGCTAAAAGCAGCGTAAAACCATACTCACTCACTCTACTTGTACAGAGCATTCTCTGTTTTGGATACCCACTTGGGCAACATAAGCTACCAGTTCATTATTCCATAGGTTGATGTCATCTTTCCTAATGCCTAACGCGATCAAACTGTATACCCAACACACTCGCCTAGACCTTTGAGGATAGTCCAACCTCCGCTGTAAACGATAACCACCATACGCACTGAAGGGAAACAGTCACCTTCAAACATATGCAAACACAAGAATGAACCATTGGCAATTGATTCTGCAGTTGCTCCCTTGACCGTACAAGAATCGACTGATCGTGAAGTCTTATACCACCTTTGGCCCAGTTAATATTAGGTTTCTTTCTCCACTACAGTAATACTCGATGATATTACTGAAGCGATTACAAATGCGTGGTTTAAAACCACTCTTACATTCACTGACTCACAGTCTCGGTTGCAGCAAGTGCGGTTTTCCATTCCGCGTTTAAACACAGCTCACTCAAACCCTCACTCGTGGCCTCTGCTGTAGTAACTGCATCTTATATTTCCGCACTCACTCACTCACTCACTCAAAGACTTGGTGCAGTTTATCATACCTCCTTCAAACCCAAATAACTCTCTCCCTCGCCTGATGGTTAAAGCGTTCGTTCGTCACACCGAAGACCCGGGTTCGATTCCCCACATGGGCACAATGTGTGAAGCCCATTTCTTGTGGCCCCCGGCGTGATATTGCTGGAATATTGCTAAACGCGGCGTAAAACTGACTCACTCGCTCAAAGCCTCTTTTATAATTCCTCGTTTAGACCCAACTCACTCACTCCCTCACTCTGCTGCCGTCTCTGCAGGTCGCCATTCCTCATTCCGACGATGCCCACCCCTGATGAAAGCCAGAACGTTACATTCGGCCATTATGATTCCACACATTTGCAACTACAATTACACGGCACCGGTGTGGCCGGCACGGCGTTGCGAGTATATAGTATTCTTCCGCATCTGACAGTCGGTAGACACAGCCCAAACACCCTATACATAATGCTCCCATCATCCCAACACACAGACACAGCCCATCATTCACACCTCTGTACCGGCTCGTCTCGCACCCACCGTACGCAACGAACTCGCGTATCCAACTAGCATTCGGAACTCGTCACTTGCAACGGATTCATCTGCTTGATTAACTTAGCATGTTCTTCAACCTTCATGGCTTCGTAATGGTGCATTGTTTACCAGTCATGGCAATTACAACTACCCTCACGTTTAGGTGTTAAATTGAATGATCGTTTACCTGCACACCATAACAATGGCAGTACCTTGATTCGGGTATTTACAGAGATTCACTGTACACCTGACATCGGTACAATGAAACCTTGTCAGTTAAAACCCCTTTATTCCGGACACCCTAACTTCCGGTCACTTACTGTTCTGAACGTGTGTATAAATCCACATATATATCTTGTTTAGTTGTATTTGGTTTGATCATTTGTAGCCTTGTTGACTGACCAAAGACACAGGCTCCATTTGATAAATGACT